CCACATTTCTAATCATACGCTAGTAATTTACATTTGTTGTTCTTTCTTGGCAGCGGCACTTGTGTCTGAATGCATTAAAAGCTCTATACGCATGACAAAGAGGTCCCTCTCCTCCCAAACCAGCAGGTCACTTTTTCTCCAGGCTTATATGATCTGTAATAAGATCAGATTCTTCCATTCATAAAACCAGAGAAGTTGCTTTTCCTTGCACTTTCATCATCATGTGTAACTCACCAAATGATCTCTTACCATCATGTCCGGAGCCCTTACGAGTGCAGGCAGAATGGTACACCAATCATCAATACAAGCTGCGGAATCCAGTTACTCTCCTTGCCTAAACTGCTTTGTTGCGATAAGAAAATCAGTATAGCAAAAGGATAAAAGCAACTATGTCCAGATGTTGTTGGAACTTCAAAAGACAAAAAGAAAATACCACTCCCCAACTGTTGTGGAGTTTTTTTTTCTTCTATAAAAGAGTTTTTTTTTATTTTTTTCATTTAAAAATACATCAAATTATGCTTTTTAAGTGTTTTAGATGATTTTAATAGACTATTATCAAAAACTAAAACTAAAATTAAAAAATTATTTTAATACACTTTCAAAATCTTCATTTCCTTCCTGGAAAGAAACTTCAAACTACGACCGCTAATTTTGTGCCCAAAGGCGTGCTTGCATCCATGAACATGAGTCGCACGTTGAGCTTTCAAATTCGTGATAGAATATCTGGATTACAGGCAGAGGATCAATAACTATCTCCAGGAGTGCTGATGTGCTATTAAGCACATAGTGCAATTTCCACATCGACTATGTAATCCAACAAAACCAATCAAATCAAGCACTTTAAGCCATTTGTGCGGACGTCTAGCCTTCAGCTTAACTTTGCTCTGGGGACATCAAATAAAGGAGGGGGCACTCAACTCTCCACGCGTTCATCGCCAATGCCAACTTGTTGATACATATTCCTTAACTTCGCAAATTTCGGTACCCCAAAATTCTTTAATAAAAGATTAAAAAATATATGCATGCTAAAAAGAGATGTGGATTATTCAAAATAAGCTAAAATCCCTTCGTCTCATTAACGTGATAATTATATATATATATATATATATATATATTTTAGAATTTTTTACTAAAATGTTTATGTTATGATTATTCTAAAAACAAGTTCCAATTTTAAAAAAAATATATGTTAATAATTATAATAGGAGTGTCTTAAAAAACATGAGAATGATATAACAATAATGATTAACTATTTGCCAATATTATTAAACTTGGTTTAGTAGGTTAAAATTAAAATTTCTAAATTCAAGTATTTGTTTGGTTTAAGTTTTAAATTAAATTATACTTAGTAGGATTAAAAACAAACCTGGATAGTTGATAAAAATATACTTTGGCTTAAAAAAATCAAAGATGATTTTTTTAAAAAATAAATTAAAATAAATTAAATTAAATCTACCCAAATTAACCCGTCAAATGTACAAACTAGGTTATGAACTTGATTGAGTTTTATAAGTTTATTCTTTTAAAACTATTTTTTATTAAATTATATGATAACATTAATAAATACCCCCAATAAATCAACTGAATAATTTTTAAAAAATAATTATGAAAGGTTGTAAAAAAAATACTTACTAATATGATAAAAAAATTCTATAATATCATTGAAAAAACATTGAATGATATTTGATAAAATAATATCTAAAATAAATTCTTAATTAATTTTATAATTCAATAAAACAATACATCTAACTTGTTAAAAAAACATATTTAAAAAAAAAATTAAATTTTTTTAAAAAATTACAAAAAAGATCAGACATGCAAGTCTAAGTGCCTAGTGCAACCACAAAGATAATAAAAAAATCAAGACAAGATATTTTTTTTTATCTATAAAACTTATTTTGAAATCTTTCTCATCTAAAAACACTTTTGAAACTTCAAAAAATTAATACTCTAACTCAATAAAATCTAAATTAGTTAAAGAAAAAATCAAACAAAAAAATCTCTCTCGATCCTAATTTACTTTTTTTAGGCAATATAAAAGCTACAAAATATGTTAATGACATTCATCTAGTCAAAAAGAATATTTTGACACCGAGCTTGTTATTTTTTCCAACAAAATCTTACTAGCCAATGTCTTTTTTTTTTTTGTGCTGTTTTTTTGACAATTCTTTCCATTTTCTCAAGCTTTTTGGGAATAAAATATAAATAAAATAAGATTTTGAACTAAATCAAATAATTTTCAAACTAAAGGTGCTAACACCGTATCTTTTTTTTTAAATGCTCATCCTTTTTTCTTTGTTTAAATTTTGGTCCACTCATTTTTAATATTTCTCAAGTAATAAAATTGAATTTTTTTTCATAAAACTAAATATCAACACAATACTATGATTTTTTTCAAGATAGAGGTAACTACATAAAATAAATTGAAAGGGAAAAAAAATTGATGATCAGTAAGGAAAAAAGAAGAAGAAAGAGAAGCAAAGTTAGCACAGTGTTTTTTTAGAAAACAAAAGGGCTGTTATTTTTTTTTTATTTTTTCTTTGTTTCAATTTTGATTTCTTTATTTTCAATTTTTTTCAAGTAATAAAATTGAATTTTTCTGTTGTGAAATCCAGTATTAACCCAATGCCAATACTTAAAAAAAAAAAAAATCTTAATAACCATACAATAACAACCCCACAATTACTTTAACTCCACAAAATACTCTTTAAAAATAATCAAAACCGAGAGAAAAAAACAAAAACACCTCTATACTCTCCCATTCACCAACACACACATAAATATTCAAATAAATCAAAACACCAAAAAAATACTTGTCCACTCTTTAATTTACTACTCATCTTCTTTGTCTCCAAACACTTAAACACCAAAAATCATAATTATTTTCTCACTTAACACACAACTTCCGACCAGCCACCACCTAAATTGCAATACATTGCCCCTGAGTCTCTTTGTAGCCTATGCCAACAACAACAACAACTCACAGTGAAGAGAGAGAAGAAGAAAAAAGAAAAGAAAAACTAAAATTTCAAGTTAGTCAATCTCTCTTTTTCATCAATAGTGAGCTACATGTCTACTACACAAAGGTCACACATCTACAAGTCTTGTTAGTGTGTGGGAAAACATGCCACAAGCTTTGGCTTTCTCAAGTTATGTATACTAATGCATTGCCATTGTTTATTTGGATTCCAACAGCTCCAGGAACCTTCAACTCCTCCATTAAAGATTGATTTCTAAGATCCTAAACCATAACTTCTTAACTTTATTTTTCATGTTTAGCTTGTATTTTTAATTGAATATCAGACTTTCATTCATGGATTATGTGTCTGACTATATTATTTGTTTGAACAAGTTTATGGTTTGGATGTATTTTGTGAATTTGGAAAACTTTATATTGATTTAGGTTCTTATTAGATTAAGTGGTTGAGTTGTTAATGATAAATTTCAAGTATCATTATATTGATTTATTTTTTTTATTTTTCTCATTAATTTTTTCTATTTAAACAGTGATTTGTACCCTCTCTTTCTTTTCTTAAACGAATCGAATTAACTTTGACTTCTAATAACCACAAAGCGTGGGTGATTAAACTAGTTCATGTGAATCACACATGCATGATGCAATAACGAGGAATAACATTACACAGAGCGTGTTGATCTAACCTAATAATACGCGGCGGTACTAGAAAAACACAAACAGAAGACAAAAATAGGAAATCACTGGATGCCGTTCTCCCCAAGACAAATGTGAAAATCTACAAGCTTCGTGCTCTCTCATTTCCCATGATGTACAAGCTCCTGGTGTCCACTAAAGACTTTGAGACCACCATTGTTCCATAAGCACATTTACAGAAAATAACACATGTCCTAACTAAAATTAGGATAAAAATTATTTTTTTAAAGTAATTTTTTAATAAATATATTAAAATAATATTATTTTTATTTTTAAAATTTATTTTTTAATATTAACACATCAAAATAAACCGTACAAAAACACAAAAAATAAAAAGTAATTCGGACAATAAAAGTACGGTTAAATTCAATACCAAACATCATGCTTTTTTTAAATTTATTAATTTTTTTATGTTTTTAAATTATTTTAATATTCTAATATTAACAATATAAAATATTTTAATCTATAACAATAAAAGGCTCTCAAAATACTAATGCAGTTGCAACGGTAAACATCTTCTTCAACCACAACAATTCTCATCTTCCTCGGAACAAAAAGGAATCTATCACATTTTTCACCACCTGAAAAAGCTTGAAACACCAGCGACACTGCCCCCTGGCATTCCTCTTTTAACCTCCCTTTCCACCCCCCCCCCCCCTCCTCCGAGATTCCTCCCCATAAGCACTAACCCAAGGCTAAACCAGTAAAACCATACTTAAAAATGAAAGAGAAAAATAATTTTTTAATATTAATTCTTGTATGAACCAGTAGATCGCTTCTGTTTCTACTCTTCTAATTTGTTACACAGGAGACAAGCAACGACATTGTCTTCGTCATCAGCATCATCAAGACAATCAAGAAATAGCTAGAAGAGTCAAACCCCCTCCTCTCCTCTCTCTTTCTCTCTCTACTCTACTCTGATATGTGTGTATATATATATATATATATATATATATATATATATATATATATATATATTTATATACATATAAAAGCAGCTATTCTTCTTTCTCTCTCTTCGAATCTTTAATTTCTTTCAAGGTAAGATTTTTTCCACTTACTCTCTCTTAACTGCAATATCTTTCCTCTTCCTTCAATTTACGAATTTCCCATAAAAAACCTAGCTTCCGCAATAGCTTGCTTATCGTGTCCGAGCTTAAGGAATCAGAGTTCGGTGTAAACCCTAGTTTTTGATTTGTGTTCGAAATTAGGGTTTGTTTACTCGTGGAATATGTGATTCCGGGTGTAATTATTGATTTAGATTGATTAAAGGTATTGTTTTTATGGTAATTTGGATTAGATTCGTGGATGTGGTATTGGGTTTTGGATTCATTTTGTGTTTGTTTGGGGTTTTAGTAGCTTGAGGTTGCTGGGTTTAGAGGGAAAGATTGAATTTTGAGTTATCGATTATAGTTTTGAAGCTTAGCTTTTGTAGATCAAAGTAATCAGTTGTGTTGGAGTTATACCACAAAGTCTGCAAGTTTGGCTATTTGATTATGATTCTGAATCAGAGGAAGTAACACATGCTTGGGTCTTTTGTATTTTAAGTTGAAAAGTATATTACTTTGACGTTCATGTCCAGCCTTTTGTTCTTAATATTTGATATTAGAAACCCTAGAAATACTTGTTCTGGGACCATTGGTTGTGGTTGGGAAGAAGGGGCCTTGGACTGGTTCAAACCAGTTACTTGGTAAAAAGAGGTGCTTGCAACTCCAAAATACTGACTTAGGTTTTGAAATTTTCGGTTTACTTGGTTATTGGCGAATGCAAGGATTACTTTGGTTTAGTTACCTGATGCTTGATTATCAGCAATTTAGAGTTCCCAATCTTTTTTTTCCCTCCAAAACACCATTTGAAGTTCTGTCTCAAGTTTGTGTTGATCTCAAGATAACCTAGCATGTGATGAAAGCAAACATTTTTTTGATTTTAAATTATATTTCTAGGACATGTTCATTTTCATGGCATCATTTTTCTGTACATTATCATGTTACCGGATTCATTTAAACCCTATAGTATAGATTCTTCGCTTCTTCTTCTTCTTCTTCATGTTTTCCTTTTCCATTTTTTTCAACAGGTCAGTTGTGTCTGCCATTAAAATAGTTGGCTTCATAGTCACAGGAAGTTGTGCTCATCATCTTAAAGTTTGATGCTCGGGAAAAATAGTCTTTTCAATTCAAATTATATGGATGTTGATGGATTTTTACCTAGTAACTTGTAGATTTCATGCTTGAGGTCACACAGCTGAGTTTGTCTTTGCATTTCTTTGAATCTGTAGCTTCAGTGTTCTTTTGGCTTTCTATATGTTTTAAATATGTTTTTCTCTATGCAGTTTAGTTACGGAGCTTGTAGTTGTTCAATGTTGGGAGCAGTATGTGGATGTTAGTTTGGAGAAATGCAAAGGTATCATACTGCCGGCTGCACTAGTGCAGTTAACAATAGCTCCATTGGAGGCACATCTTCTAGAGATAGCATCCGGACTGATTCATCTTCATTGGCGTCCAACTTCTCTATAAACCCTAGGTAAATTTGTTTTCAATATCTTTTTGCCCTCCATGAACTGTTGATAATAATTCAGTGGCCCTTGACTCTGAATACAGTCACATTCATGTTTTCTAGTTACATGTACAAGACAATGCACACATGCCTTTGGTCTGTGATAAGTTTTTAAGCGTTGTCTATACCTTTGTACACACCCATACATTTGAATTTCCATATCGCAATCACTTCAGTTCGCAACGCATCTGTGCATTTGTGTGCTTAGTGCTAACCTCACAAAGAATGGGGCTAGGTATTCAACTCGTTTCGTTTTACATCGGTCAATGCCTAGTTCGCTGATTTTAGTTCAAGTGCATATTAACTGTTAGACATTTAGATTTTTCTCCCATGCTCCTAATTCCTTCTGCTAGTAGGATGCTTGTTTTTTTTCTTTACATATAGACATGATTTATTTTTATTATTTTGAAGAGCAAATTTGCTGTTTATTCAAAGTGATGTTTTGTATTGTGTAGGCGGCCACCTCCTCTGATTCCATACAAGTTGAAGTGTGATAAAGAACCGCTGAATTCCCGGTAATTTCATTATTAGCACCACTTACAGTGAAGAAAAAGTAAAATAATATTTGTTGGTGCCAATTTTTATTCAGTTAGCTATTTCTTCATTTGTTTGGAATGATGTCAGTTAAGAATTTAAGTACTTTCATTACAAGTTTGGATGCTTGTTGTTTAAACTTTTTTTTCCTAGTTGATCTTTATTGATTGGTTATGGTTATTATCCATTGAATAATCATCTCCTTTTAAATCATAGACTTGGCCCCCCTGACTTTCATCCTCAAACTCCAAATTGCCCTGAGGAGACTCTCACTAAGGAATATGTTGTGGCTGGATATAAGGATGCAGTTGAAGGACTTGAGGTTATTTTTCATTCACTAATACTTTGCCACAAACATGTATAAATATGGACAACATGCTACATTTTATTGTCCTTGCCATTTGACCTTTCATTGAAAAGTGCACACATATGCATGATTCTTGTGCTTAATTCAATTAGCATATGAATCTTGATTTTTTTGATTTTTTTTTAACTTGTTATAAAAACTGACATTTTGAACGTTGCCCAAGGAAACAAAGAACTTTATTGCTTTTTTCCACTTATGATTTTATCCCTGCTTACATTTTTTAATCTTAAACCTGCAAGAGTAAATCATTTTTGACAGATCCCTTCATATTTCCTCGCATAAATGATTGGAACTTTGAGAATCACATTGTTAATATGTGCTCATCAAATTAGATCTTAATGTTTTCATGCAAATATTCACAAGCCTTGATATCTATAATTTATCAATTTTTTATCTTCTGAGTTCTCAGGAAACCAGAGAAATCTTACACACTCAGGCTCAAAGTTTTACCAGTCCTGTTGTCAAAAAATGCAAAGAGGTTATTCACTTCAATTTGGAAGCTATAGTGCCTTTTATTTACTTTTTTCTTTTTGTAATTTTATAGGAAGCTACTGTGTTTCATTTTTGTTTGCCCATAAAAAGCTTTGGATACTCTCATGCGAAGATGATTAGCAGTTACTGATAGTGGAGTTTTGCTCTTTCAGGCTATCAGAAAATGTCTGAGGGCCATTAATGAGTCTCGTGCACAAAAGCGCAAGGTATGCCCTTTCTAATTATGTGTCGTACATATGAAAGCCTTTTCTGCTTTGAATGCTCTATCTTGCTCCCTATATGTTCATCTCACCAGTAGCTGAAAATGTGTTTTTTTTCTTTACAATCTCATCGTCTAGTCTTGACATCTATGCTCATTATCACAGGCTGGTCAAGTATATGGTGTGCCTCTTTCTGGGTCATTACTAACTAAGCCTGGTGTATATCCTGAACAAAGATCTTGTGGTGAAGACTTCAAGAAGAAATGGATTGAGGTATATGGTTTCCAAGTTCCTCTAAAAGAAAGTGTGCATACCTGATTGGAAAAGGCACTTGTCAATGGACCTACTTTGGCTGAGTTAGCTTCCTAAAAAAACCATTTGGTTGCCTAGGGGAAATGTGATGCAATGACATTCTTAAACTTATTTGGTTGTGATACCCATTGAATTGTTTTGTTGTGTGTGTGTGTGTGGGTGGGGGGGGGCACTGAGTTCAAATTTTGAAAAACAAGACTTGCTACCCTTTATCTTGGAGAGTACAAATAACTGCATGCTTGTCCTTTCTCTCAAGTTATGCATAAAGTGGGACAATTTGTTTTTTAAACATGGCATGGAAGATAGTGCATCATGAGTTTAGAGAGGAATGGGTTTGAAATATTGTTTTAATTTTCATATATCACCAATCTCTAACATGCTTTATTTTATATAGCAGTTCTTGGTGGTTGTGATGGCTTGTCATCTTTCTTAACACTTATAATTGGAACAAGCTATAGTAATTGGATGTGGGATGTTAGGTCAATAATTAACCATGTGTAGGCTAGTTATTGAATAGAATTTGTCAATGTTACTGAGGGAAATTTTACATTGCACTAGTAAAAATGCCTACACATGAACTTGAGTGCCTTCTATTTCTTTTTATATCTTTTTGGTTGATACAAATACAAATTTTTAGTAGCACTCAGTTGTCTCTAATTGATATGTACTATGTAGTTATATTCATGAAAAGCATTGTAGGTATCGCAAGTGAAATACAAATACAAATTTTGGAGCCCTGTAGGCAGGTTTTGCTGAAAGAAACTGGGAAGAACATCATATTAGCAAAGAAAATGTGTCTGCATGTGACCTTGGAAATTGCCTGTTGTGTTGCATTTTAATACAAAGCTTGAAATTTTAGCTGATAACGGTCCTGTTTTCTTAGTCTTTCTTGTAACATTTTTTTTTAATTTGTTCTTTATACCAGGGTTTATCACAGCCCCACAAAAGATTGCGTTCTTTGGCCGATCATGTGCCACATGGATATAGGAAGAAATCACTTTTGGAAGTTCTTATCAGGAACAATGTGCCATTATTTCGTGCCACTTGGTTTATTAAAGTAACTTATCTTAATCAGGTAGAGCTGCTTGATTACTAGCACTTGCATACAGATACACTTGCTTATTTCACTATTTTCAAAAGCAGATTATGGTTATATTTTGTAGGTAAAACCGAGTTCTACTAGTATTTCTTCTGGCACACCTGACAAAAGTCAGTTGTCCCGGACAGAGCTCTGGACAAAAGATGTTGTTGATTACTTGCAGTCTCTCCTGGATGAATATTTATCCAGAAACAATCCTCATTCTGCTCCACACAGCAAAGATAGATCACAACAATTGCTTTATTCTGGCTCAGTGCAGCACAGAAGTGATCCATCATCAGCCATCCTTGATAGCGAAGAGCCTTCCCTGCATTTAAAGTTGCGGTATGTGGCCCGGCTCTTGCACTGGCACCATGCAGAAGGGCTGCTTCTTCCTTCAGTAATCATTGACTGGGTTCTTAGTCAACTACAGGTATATTTTTAGATTAACCAATTTTTTTATTGTTCTTCTTCCAAGGTACAAGATGAACTTTATGCTTCGCATGTTAAAATCACGAGTACTTAATGGGGCTTCATGGCTTTTGCTGGGCTTTATGTGCTCCTGCAGGAAAAGGACTTGCTTGAGATTTTGCAGTTGCTGCTGCCAATCTTATATGGTGTTTTAGAAACTGTTATTCTTTCTCAATCATTTGTGCGCACTCTAGTGGGGGTTGCGGTTCGTTTCATTCATGAACCTTCTCCAGGAGGTTCAGATCTGGTAGATAATTCTCGAAGGGCCTACACAACCTCTGCTTTAATTGAGATGCTTCGGTATCTAATATTAGCTGTGCCAGATACATTTGTTGCTCTGGATTGTTTCCCTTTACCACCTAGTGTAGTGTCTTATGCAGTAAACGATGGGACATTTCTGTCAAAGGCTTCTGAGGATGCAAGAAAGACAAAAGATAATTCAGCTGAAGTTGCTTGTGTTTTCAGAAGTAAAGGGCTTGATGCTCAATACCAATCTTTGTCCTTTGATCGGGTTGTTTCATCCATTCAGAAGCGTGCAGATAACCTTGCCAAGGCTGTTAGCTCTGGCTATCCAGTTCATAGCGTGGCTAAAGCCTTGCAAGCTTTAGATAAAGCTCTTTCACTAGGGGACATTAGAGAGGCTTATGGGTACCTTTTTGAAAATTTTTGCGAGGGAGCTGTTCATGAAAGCTGGATAAAAGAAGTCAGTCCATGCCTGAGATCTTCTTTGAAGTGGCTGAGGGGTGTGAGCTTGTCACTCATTTGCTCTGTATTTTTGCTTTTTGAGTGGGCAACATGTGATTATAGGGATTTTCGGAGTGCCCCACCTCATGAACTGAAATTTACTGGCAGAAAAGATTTTTCTCAGGTTTATATTGCAAGTCGGCTTTTGAAGTCAAAGATACGAGATCTGCAAAGTCCATTTCGACGGAAGAATGAGAAATCCCCTGGAGTGAATAGCCTTGTAAAAGGTCTCAATCAGCCTAATTATTTGGGCAGGATTCCTGTGGGAAATGGATATGAAATTAAAAGCAACTCAAAAACTGTGAGTGGACAAGGTACTAATATGTCAAATATATTTGAAAGTCCAGGTCCTTTACATGATATCACAGTGTGCTGGATTGATCAACACGAAGTGTGCAATGTAGAGGGGTTGAAACGTCTTCAACTACTCATTGTGGAACTTATACATTCTGGAATTTTTTCCCCCCAAGTGTATGTGAGGCAGTTGATAATTAGTGGAATAATGGATGCAGCTGGTCCACCAGCTGACCTTGACAGGCGAAAGAGACACTATCGAGTCTTGAAACAACTACCTGGGCTCTTTGTCCATGATGTTTTGGAAGACGCAAGGATTTCTGAAGGGTCAGAACTTTCGGAGGCAATGCGTATTTATTCAAATGAACGTCGCCTTCTCCTTCATGGACTTTTCTGTGAACGATATCAAAACTCAGTTAAATCAAATTTATCTGTGAAGAAGCCCAAGCATCAACCACCTATTGCTGGAAAGGATGGTGCCTCCCCATCTTCTTTTGAGCAGTGGAAAAATACTGGGTCCCACCCTTCTGCAAAAGTGAAGAATGAAATGGACATTGAGGAACTGAAGGCATCCATATCAGCACTGTTGCAACTCCCAATATGCTCCACATCTTCAGACACGGGACTGGATGAATCTCAAGGGAGCGTTAAGAGGCCTGCTGAGTCAATAGGCAGCAAAATGGATGTAGTAGAAACTCCTGGTTGCGAAGACTGTAGAAAGGCAAAGAGACAAAAGTTAAGTGAGGAAAGGAACTCATACCTTCAAGGACATTCTCCTATATCAGATGATGAAGATACCTGGTGGGTACGGAAGGGGGCTAAACCCTTAGATTCCTCTAAGATTGATCCACCACCAAAGTCTTCCAAACAGGTCTCCAAGGGTAGGCAAAAGGTTGTGCGTAAAACTCAAAGCCTGGCTCATTTAGCAGCAGCCAGGATTGAGGGTAGCCAGGGAGCTTCTACAAGTCATTTTTGTGATAATAAGATAAGCTGCCCTCACCACAGAACTGGAATAGAAGGAGATAATCTCAGGTCAATGGATGGGCTGGGAAGAATGTATGGTGGAGATATTGTTTCAATTGGTAAATCCTTAAAACAACTGCGTCCTGTTGAGAAGAGGACAATTACAGTTTGGTTGATAGCTGTTGTTAGGCAGCTTGTTGAGGAGACTGAAAAGAGTGCTGTCAAGGCCAGCCAGTATTCTAGATCTCTTGTCAATGTAGATGATAGGAGCTCTGTTAGATGGAAGCTGGGCGAGGATGAGCTGTCTGCTATATTGTATTTGATGGATATTTGCTGCGATTTAGTTTCAGCAGCAAAGTTACTGCTCTGGTTGTTACCGAAGGTCCTTAGCAACCCTAATTCTACAATCCATAGTGGGAGAAATAGTATGATGCTGCCAAGGAATGTGGAAAACCATGCATGTGAAGTGGGAGAGGCATTTTTGTTATCTTCTCTCCGAAGGTTAGACATGCAAAAGTTACATGGTTACAAAGTTCCAGTTTGTATTATGCTAATATCCATGAAGTGCTTCTTGCTTATTAATCTGGATAAAACACATCACAGATTATCTGCTTTAACTGCTTTTTGTTGATGTGCTAGTCTTTATTTGTGGGATCCTGTTTTTGTTAGAGTAATTTCTTTTTTAGTTCTTTGGATTCTTTTGTGGCTAAATATTCTTCAGTCATCTATTCCTTTCTTGATATGGTTTACAGAAAAGTACAATGTTGGTTTTACAATGTACGAGAAATAAAGTTTTAACTGCATAAACCTCAGGGCTTATAAATAAATTACCATTTATTTACTGTTTAGCTATTTTTGCATGCTTAAAAGATGTTGTTTTTAATAATTTGTATATGTTGTCTATTGGTTTTGCTTGAATGCTGTAAACTTCTTCTTCTTCTTCTTCTGCTATTTTTCACTAGAGTTTTATTTTTAGGGTCCTTCCATTTTGTTCCCATCTCATCTCTGCAGTTGAAATTCAAGCTTGTAGCTATTCGTATTTTGTACTAGTGTTGTACTGTTTAAAAAAAGCTATGGCCAAACTCTTTTTCTGGAACAAATAATTTCTGAGCTCTCCAATTCTTTATTTCATCATTTTTTTTTTCTGGGAAAGTTTATCTGGAATCAATACCAAAGAAGTTATGTTTATATATTTTCTTCTTCACTCTGCTTTTAGGTAGTATTATACATGCATCCAGCACATGCTTGTTGAACTATCTGCATATTCTTGTAAAGAGCACTGTTTGCATATGCATGTTCCCTACTTTAATAGTTTTTATCCATGGTCTGGCTTGTAAAGTGATGGTTCTTGCAGACTTTTTATGAAGCAATTTTTGTTTTGTTGTTTCTTTTTTGCTATCTGGTACGATGTCTTATTCTCCATTTGTGTATTATTCTGTTCCCTCTTTACTATAAATTTTTCTTCCTAAAAAAAATTAAATTTGTAATTGCTCATCACAATGAAAATTTTCAGGTATGAGAACATAATTATTGCAACAGATCTTATTCCTGAAGTCTTGTCCACCACAATGCACCGTGTTGCAGCACTGCTGGCATCCAATGGAAGAACTTCAGGTTCAGCAGCCTTAATTTATTCCCGACATCTTTTGAGGAAATACGGCAATGTGCCAAGTGTTTTAGAATGGGAGAAGAGTTTCAAGGCATCATGCGACAAGAGGCTTCTTTCTGAACTTGAAATCGGACGATCACTGGATGCAGAATTTGGATTTCCACTTGGTGTTCCAGCAGGAGTTGAAGATTTTGATGATTTTTTTCGTCAGAAGATTAGTGGCAGTCGATTATCCAGAGTGGGTATGAGCATGAGAGATGTTGTCCAAAGGAATATTGAGGATGCTTTTCACTACTTTGGGAAAGAGAGAAAACTCTTTGGTGCTGGTACAGCAAAAGTTCCTGCTATGGAAAAATCTGATGACACATATCAGATAGCTCAACAAATAATCATGGGACTTATGGACTGCATGAGGCAGACTGGTGGTGCTGCTCAAGAAGGTGACCCATCCTTGGTGTCCTCTGCTGTTTCTGCCATAGTCAATAATGTTGGACCAACTATAGCAAAAATGCCTGATTTTTCTCTAGGCAGTAATTATTCAAATGCTCCAGCTGGGACAGGTTTGCTAAATTTTGCTAGGCGCATTTTGCGCATCCACATAAATTGCCTATGCCTACTCAAGGAAGCTCTCGGGGAGCGTCAAAGCCGGGTTTTTGAGGTAGCTCTTGCAACAGAAGCCTCCTCTGCTCTCGCTACAGCATTTGCTCCTGGAAAGGCTTCTCGAAGCCCATTTCAGTTGTCCCCTGAATCCCATGATTCAAGCGGGAATATCGCTAATGAGATCTTGAACAACTCTGCAAAAGCTGCTGGAAGAACAAAAAGTGCTGCTGCTATTTCTGGACTTGTTGTTGGAGCTATTATCCATGGTGTGACTACTCTGGAGAGAATGGTGACTGTCTTCCGGTTAAAGGAAGGGTTGGATGTAATTCAATGTATAAGGAATACAAAATCCAATTCTAATGGTAATGCTCGTTCATTTCCTGTTTTTAAGATGGACAACTCAATCGAAGTTTATGTGCATTGGTTTCGGTTACTTGTTGGGAACTGCAGAACTGTATCTGATGGCCTGATTGTAGAGCTCTTGGGTGAACCATCTTTAGTTGCTCTTTCAAGGATGCAGCGATTGCTCCCTATTAGCTTGGTTTTTCCACCTGCCTACTCTATCTTTGCCTTTGTTATTTGGAGACCATTCAGTGCAACTCGTGAAGACATCAATCAATTGTATCGCTCTTTGACAATGGCCATCAGTGATGCCATAAAGCACCTGCCTTTTAGGGATGTGTGTTTAAGAGACAGTCAAGGCTTTTATGATCTTATAGCTGCAGATTCCAGTGATGCTGAGTTTGCTGCCATGCTAGAATTAAATGGTCTGGACATGCGTTTCAAATCCAAGGCCTTTGTTCCGCTCCGAGGAAGGCTTTTTTTAAATGCTATTGTTGATTGTAAATTGCCACACTCTGTATTTGTGCAAGATGATGGAAATAGGGCTTCGGGACATGGTGTATCTAAGGTTCAACATGCAGAGAATGAAATCAAGCTTCTAGATAAGCTTGTGAATGTATTGGATGCACTGCAGCCTGCAAAATTCCATTGGCAGTGGGTTGAACTCAGGTTGCTTTTGAATGAACAAGCCCTTATTGAAAAACTTGATACTCATGACATTTCCCTAGCAGATGCAATCCGTTCTTCCTCTCCTGGCCCTGAAAAAGAAGCTGCTTCTGAAAATGAAAATAATTTCATTGAAATCATTCTTACAAGGTTGTTGGTCAGACCTGATGCTGCTCCGCTTTTCTCAGAGCTGGTTCATCTTCTTGGGACGTCTCTAGAGAACTCAATGCTATTGCAGGCTAAATGGTTCTTAGGAGGCCATGATGTTCTTTTTGGACGGAAAACCATTAGACAACGGCTTATTAATATCGCCGAGAGTAAAGGTCTTTCAACTAAAGCTCACTTTTGGAAACCTTGGGGCTGGTCCAATTCTGGTTTTGATCCTGTGATGAACAGAGGGGATAAGAAGAAGTTTGAGGTTCCCTCTCTTGAAGAAGGGGAGGTTGTTGAAGAGGGCACTGAGACAACAAGGTCTGGAAAAGGGTCCTTTCCAGTATTTGAGTCTGAAGGTTCTAGTCTCTTCCATCAGAATGTGACTGAAAGGGCTCTTGTTGAACTAGTTCTTCCCTGCATAGATCAAGGTTCTGATGACTCTCGCAATACATTTGCAACTGATTTGATCAAGCAGTTGAATAATATTGAGCAGCAAATAAACTCGGTCACTCGTGGTACAAATAAGCAAACGGGAACAGCATCTTCTGGACTGGAAGGTCCAGCAAATAAAAGTAACAATCGCAAAGGAATAAGAGGTGGCAGTCCTGGATTGGTGAGACGAACTGCAGCAGCTGCAGATTCTAACTTCCCCTCTCCTGCTGCCCTACGAGCTTCTATGTTACTGCGGTTGCAGTTATTGCTAAGGTTGCTTCCTACCATATGCACAAATGGGTAAGCATACAAATATTTCCTGTTCATTTAATATTTCGTAGCTTGCACGTTACTTAATGCAAATTATTATGTGTTGATCCTCAACTATTTTTTTTTCTTTATCAATTGTTCTTTCACTCTGTTCTCACATCAGTGTTTCTATATATTTTGTTTCCTATATTGGTATCCTTGACAATCATTTTAACATGTGGTGTACCATTCCTTTCACCTTTTTTCCCACATGCTAAATCCCAGACATATGCGTAATGAAATAATTCCTTGTATGAAGACAAAATGGCTTCTGTAATGATTATGCATAGAATTTTATGCTAGTGTAGTAGACTGCCGCAGGCAGACATTTAATTGTCTTATTAAACTGCTGCAGCAGACACTTAATTGTATCATTTCCATTTTCAGTGAGCCATCTGGGCGGAACATGAGACACATGCTTGCCTCTGTCATACTTCGTCTTCTTGGTAGTAGGGTTGTGCATGAAGATGCAGAGCTATCTTTCTATCCTTTGCAAAGCTTCCAATCTAAGGGGGAACTAGAGTTGCCGTTGGAAGCTGCTTCAGATTTATCTGGTGAAAGTCTCTTTGACCGGTTACTGTTGGTCCTGCATGGGTTGTTAAGCAGCTCCCGGCCAAGCTGGCTGATGCCAAGACCTGCCTCTAGCTCCAAGTCAGTCAATGAATCCTCCAAGGATTGTGCTGGATTTGATCGTGACTTAGTGGAGAGTTTGCAGGTTTGTTATCTGATACCCGTGTTTCAATTGACTGCTTTGTTGGTGTGATGACTTTCACATATGGATATAGCTACTCTTAAATGTGGGTACTTAATTTGTGTCTCAACCCCCATGTGAGATTGGATAAACTTTTTGGATTTGTTTGGATATCTAGGTGGCATTTATATCCTCAGTCATATAAAAGATGACCTGTTGAATCTGACTTGTATGGGGAATCTAAATCAGTATCTTGATACCAGTGAAATACATTCAGGCTGCATGGTGGTCAATAACCCAAGTAGAACACCACAATTTCATTTTATTCCATCTCAGTTTAAAAAGCCTGTTTCTCCACCTCTCAAGCCTTTGACCTATCTGTACATTAGGGGGAGAGCTACTGCTAGAGTAAAAGGTCCGGTTTCCAGTTACCTGTGAAATTTTATATGATTATCAAGTTTTATGTAGGGTTTAAAGGAACAATCTAATTGACCAACATGAATTCTTTTTATTTGCCTGCCAAAACCATTGGATGAAAAACCAAAACTTGCTATGCCACTGACAAGATCCTATGATGTGCTTTTTCTTAGTCATTTCAAATGATTACAATGCACAATCAAATTGTATGACAGTAAAGGTAGTTGTTTCAACACTTAATGGAGGTTGAGATGCCCTTGAATTGAGTATCCCACAAAAGTATTGATGTAATATCTTTGCTTTTGTTAATGAATCTTAATTGACACATAAAGGATATCCATCATTTGTTGGGGCTGGTTTTAAAAATGTTAGAATGGGTGCAAAAAACTCTTTCCATTCCTCTCTCTGGAATCTTCATCCAATTTTATTTTCTGTTCTGCTCATCCAATTTTCTTTTTCATTCCGCTCTCTCTACCTACAACTAAACTGAACCGTGTCTGTCCCAAATAAGGTGGGGCAGTTTACGGTGATCCACAATCTCCATTTATTTGTTTTGGGATAAACTCAGAGGTTCTTATTGCGAGATCTCCCTTTACTTCAGCTCCATCATTTGGTTGATCTCTTCTCTCATCTTTGCAAAATACTTAAATTTGATCACTGTTTCTAGTTATTACTTCTTAAAAAAAATAAAAATAAAGGCTCACTGTTTCTCATCAGTACATCCATGTTTTGATGTTGGATACTTAAAATCAAATAAAAGAAGAGAAAAGAACTCAATGGTTATTTTAGTTGTCTATGAGGGTATAACCCTTGTTATTTTAGTTGTCTATGAGGGTATAACCCAACACCCCTATCATTGCTGTGAATGCAGAATGATTTAGATCGTATGAAGCTGCCCGGCACAATTCGACTGCGTATCCAAGCTGCAATGCCTATTCTTCTACCTTCTGTTCGATACTTTGTCTCTTGCCAGCCACCACCTGTCCCCACAGCTGCTGTTGCTTCACTTCAACCCAGCATTGCAATTTCAGGGGTTTTAAATGGAAATAACTCTCAGAAAAATCCAGCTCCTTTGGCACGCTCTGCAAATAACATATCAACAAAATCCAAGCCACTGCCACTTCCGCTGCCACTGCAACTTGATAATGATACGGAGATTGATCCATGGACATTGTTGGAAGATGGCACTGGATCTGGCTTATCTTCAAGCAACACTTCTGTGATTGGCAGCAGTGACCATGCTAATCTTCGTGCTTCCAGCTGGCTTAAAGGGGCTGTCAGGGTGAGGCGGACTGACCTCACCTACATTGGTGCTGTGGATGATGACAGCTGACCTCGACTTCATTCTTGATTTTGTTCTTGGAGAGCAGCGCCGAGCCGCACCCCCTCCCCCCAACAACCGAAATGAACTTCATTCTTGATTTTGTTCTGGAGTGCTCAAATCCCCCTCAACAGGTAATTTAATGCTTTCATCTGTCACACAAAATTGGCATCAAGATTCTACCTCGTTCTTGTCTTTGATGGAAAAGGGAGCTGTATGTAGGGGCGGTTTTTCAGAGGGGAGGGGTGGGGGTGCAGGATGGAGTGCTGGTGGAAATAGAGAAAGTGATGACGCTCCTACACAACCTGCCCCACCAGGTCTTGGTCCTGCTCAACTACTAACCTTTTAATCACCCACAATCTGGGCTGTATTATCCAGGTGCAGTTCAGAGTATTGTTGTATATATGAGATAACTGTTTTTACTTTGCAATTGATCATGGTAAAATATCCTAAAGAATGACCTGTGGCATTTTCATTGGCATCAATCTATTGTTGCAACTCTCTCTCTCTCTCATTTATGCATGTGTTCAATAATTACAATTGTATATTTGCATGCTCTGATGTGTGTAGTGTATTTATTTGTTGTGTTTTAGAAAGGTTGCAATGTCGTTTTTTGGAACAAAGGGCTTTGTTAAAATTTGTATTTGCTGTCGATGTTAATCAATCATGCATGTTAGGTTAGGAGGTTTCTGGATTAGTTGTTGGATTCTCGCTCATAATTCACCTCATTGTTCATTATTTTATTCCAATTGAGATCTGGATTGATTGTTGGCTGAATTTAAAATTAAATCTAAAATGGTGATTAATATGATGTATTTGCCTGGTTTTGTTGTTCTGTCAGACCAATGATTTTTTTGGTTTGAGTATCAGTTATCTTTTTTAAACTGTCAGAAAAAACAAGTGGGGTGATGATCTGTTTTTCCCCAATGCATCTATACAAGTTGTTTTGTTAATCTATCGACCAACTGATTAAGGTTACCCAAACTTCAAAAAATGGAGATTGGTCGAGGGGATTGACAAGAGGTACCGGGACCTCTGGAGTTCTGAGTCTCTCTGTTGTTAAGTGCTTAGCAAGACTATTTGCTGGCCTGTATCTATTCCCGCTTGCATAGCGCAGAAACCATGGGTCTCATCTTTTTGGTGTTAGTGTTGGTGCTTGTTATTTCATGTTGGATATTTATGTTTTCTTCCTGTTCACATCCATGGTCCACCGATTTGTGGATGTACGTGATGTAAATTGTTGATCTCTCAGGGACTGCCTTGTCAATTTCTTCATAAAAGGTTACTGGCCTTTAGCTTCTTAAAAAATGAAAGAACGAAATTGTATTGCTTTGAAGATCACTTGATCAGTACATGTGCGAGTTGTCCATCAATTTCTTTGGTCTTTTTTTTCCTGCTTGGTTCTGTACATCTCGCCTTGCCAACGAAATATGCAACTGATGTGGATGATTATAGTTCATCGATTTCTGTTAATCATCCTTCAGACTGAAATGTTACTGGGCTAACTTAAATATGCGATGTGGTATTTCTACTCATTCAGATTATTCTCCTATTATCTTGGTCATGCTAGGCAAGATTCATGTAGCTATCCTCATCAAACGGTTGAGAGTCTATCTATTGAAGGTGAATTAGGGATAGAAACGTTGTTCTGTGTATTGCTGTGAAGTTCTAGGATTTCATAGCTTTCTTTCTGATACCAACATGATTGAGCAACACGATACCACATCTTGCCTCAATAAGAAAAAAAGAAGACAGAAACTGTGTTCACTATTCTATTTGTTAATTCTGCCTGTTTGTGTTTCCTGGACAGTTTTAATGGAGGAAAAAGAGATCGATCCTTTTTTATTTATTTATTTATATAAACGCAGCCCTTCGTTGTTGCTTCAACAGCTTTAGCTAACACCTTCCGAGTCCTGACGGATACTGGACCGGAAGGGTACATATAGCTCTTCACGCTAAGGCCCGCATGCTGATATTGACCATCTTGGGCACTTCTGTTCTCCATTGCCAGAGACGATCGAGGCAGTGAAGCTCCCCATCTCGCATTAACAGTGGTTCTTTCTATGATGTTCTTGTAACTTTTTCCAAGTCCTGAGAAAATAGCTTCCAAAAGGTGAAGGTTACAAAATTGTCATTCAGTATCTCCCAGTTGATGAATAATACTCATATCTCGTCTCGTAAATAGAAGTAATATATCTAAAGTGGCATTAGTTAAGAGTGCACCCATATTAATGGGGTTTAAGGGCAAACAATCACAAGTCCTTCGCTTCAGAATATTGAGATTTGTGTGTTTTTTTTGAAAAAAAAATTCTTTCAATTTCATTCGTTTCCCCCCTTTAGATCCCACAAATATATATTATGTAGTATCTTTTGTCATATTTAATTAATCTATAATTAAGTACATCTTGAGATGAAATTGAGATATATTCTTAACAAAGGAATTGTAATTTGAGAAGATATAAAAGAAGAGTAGAAGTAAAGAATTTGAGTGTAATACAGAACTGAGGTGATATTGCTTGCTTCTCATGTTTTTACAGTTGTCTTATTTATACAGTTTCTAACTAACAACTGACTACTAATTAACTTCTGACGGGATTTCTAACTACTAACTCATTTTCATGTGTGATTCTCTTTTACTGTTGACTGCTGCCTTTTGTTATTGGTGTACTGCTACAACTTGTTTTATCCCCTCTTAAGTTGTTCAATTCTCTCTTGTAGTAATTCAATCATCTCTTCTGGCAATTAAGTCCAAGTCCTGTAACACTCCTCTTTCTCTGTAAGATTCTTTTCGCTAAGAATCAAGGCAATAATTAGGAAATTGATTTGTAAGTTCCTCCAAATCTTCCCCCGTATCATTATCTTTGAACATGTTGAACTATTGCATGAGCCCCATTACCATAACTTGATTGTCTTTCTTTATAATTTTCCTGTCCGAAATGGCCAATGGATATACTTCAACTCTTCCATATTCATCTACCCTGGCGATACTAAGGAAACTATTGCATTGTTTCCCATTTTCTTTTTTAGCAAAGACATGGAATATAGGGTGGATAGTGGAACCTTCTGGTAGCTGAAACTTGTATGCTACTAATCTAATCTCTTGTACAATTATGTATGAACAATACAACCTGTTAGTTTCAACTTAAATATATTTTTCTTAAGACCACATTGGTTTGTATACAAGGTTGTAGCTTAAAGTATACCACGTCTTCCGCCTCAAATTCCCTCTCATTTCTTTCTTTGCCAGCAATCTGTTTTATTTTGTGTCTAATTGCTTCTAATTATGCCTTTGATAATTGATCCATGTTGAACTACATATTCCACAGCCACTGAAGTAATCTCTTCTGTAATTAATTCCCTATTCGATGGAGGATAACCATATAAAGCTTAAAAATGACTCATATTAATAGTATAATAGAAGTTCGAATTGCACCATCATTGAACTAATGATAACCAATGAAGCCACTTATTTAGATTGTGCATAGCCATTCACCTCAAATAAGTATTCAAATATTGATTTGACATTTCAATTTTTTCATTAATATATTGATTATAAGATCTCATTAACAATTTAACCTCCAACAATTTCTTTCGTAATAAGTCGATGAAGATCTTATTTCTATCTGTGACAACAATTGTTAGCAATTCATAAAACTTATAAAAATAATTTAGGAATATCTAAGCCACACCTTGAGGACAAAAAAAAAATATTAATACAAGTAAAGTATTTATACTTGGTGAATCTTTCAACAATTACCATTACGGTATCATTTTCCTTTGATTATAATAGTCCTTTTACGAAATCTATTATGATATTTTTGCAAGTCCTCTCTAGTGTTGGCAAAGGTTGTAAAAAACTAGGATAAACTATCCTTTCTAACTTAGCTTACTTGCATACATTTCGTTTATTCATACTTTTTTTTTATTAAAGTTTTTATTTAAGGCTTGTATAATGTAGATTTGAGATTTTTATACGATTATATATGTTATTATGATCCTCAATATATGAATCATATATAATACTAACCAAAATATCTCTTAAATTTTTTTCCTTCCTAATTAGTATTCTATATTTGTACCTTAAAATGCTTTTTATAAAAATATAATTTGGCCAACTAATTGCATTCAACATTCTTTAAGCAATAATTCCTTGCAACTAAAAATCATTGCTATAAGTTTCTTTGACCTCACCATAACATGTTAGTATTATTATAGAAACAACTCATGTGCCCTTCCAAACTATTTTATATTTGGCTGTCAAACTCTCTTCATAATCAATTTTTTTTCACAAGGAATCAACTACCACATTTTATTTGCCCTTAATCTATTAGATATGTTATCTCTACCCCAATAATTTAGTCAACACTTTCTTTTATAAATAAGTATGAATCTTTTATTTTAAAAAATGATTTAAACTCTTATAATTAATTTTGATAATAAACTGATCATATTTTAGATAATATCTTCACCTTTTCATAAAGCCATGTATTCTTTCTTATAAATTAACAATCCTTTATATTTAGGACCTATAAAAAAGGTAAATGGCCTATAAAAAAGGTAAATGGCCTCCCATTTTAGCTTAAGTCTCACCTGATCTTATTGGGCATGCATTAATCTCCAACACAAAGATTTTTTTGAAATTTGAAAAATCTAATATTAGAGTTTTACATAATGCTTTTTTAGTTTGTAAAGAAACGTCATAAACTTTTTTATTCTAGCTAAAATTATCTTTTTTAATAGTTTAGTTAAAGGTTTACAAATAATTTTAAATCCTTATAAGAACCCTCTCAATTCTTTAACTGAGTATGGAATAGGCCAATTCTTTACAATTTTTATTTTTTTAAAATCAGTGGTTATACCTTTTAATGAGATTATATATCCTAAATATTTCATTTGTTTCTCATAAAAAGAACATTTTGATTGCTTAACAAACAACTGATTATCCTTTAAAGTTTCTAGTACCATCTTTAGATAATTGATATATAATTTTATGACAATAATATATATCAAAATATCATTAAAGAATACTTATACAAACTTGCTCAATAACTGTACCAGTATATGATTCATTAAGGTTTGAAATGTGATCAATGCATTGGTTTAGCCTAAAGACATTACCTTAAACTTATAATGCCTATGATGAGTTCTAAAAGTTATTTTTTGCATATTTTCATGCGTTATCACCTGATAATACCTAGATTTTAAATCTAGTTTTAAGAAGAATTGAGAGTTATACAATTAATCTATTAGGTTATTAAACAATGAAATGCAAAATTTATTCTTTCTAATTTAGTTATTGAGTTGTCTATAGTCAAAACAAAACCTCTAAGTGCTATTTTTTTTTAACTAATAAAACAAGAGAAACAAATGGTGTGCAATTTGGTTGAATAATTCTATTTTAAAATATCTCATTAACCAAACTTTCTATCTTATTTTTTGTGTACAAATGAGCTTTAAAAAGGTCTAATATTGACCAACTTGGCTCTAGGCATTAGAGGAATATTGTAATCTAGTTGTCTTATAGGTAAGAAGTGCTTTGGTTCTATAAATATTGTTTTGTAGTCTTTAATAAGACCTTTATTTCTGAATTCT